ATATATGTATGTATGTGTGTGTGTGTTTATATATATATATGTATATATATATATATATATATAATGTAGGTCTACTTGATATGCGTTTTTATTATTAGTTTTTACTTTTTGTTTTGTCGGGGTCAAATTGAGACAAGCTTTGCTTCTATTTTTGATCCTAATTAATTAATTTTAATGTTGTCCACTTTATTTATCACTTGATGTATTTATTAATAAATTGAATAAATGTTAATTGAATTGAATTGAATTGAATTGAATTATGGTATTTTTTTTTATTTAAAAAAGATAATTTTATAGAAAACCATGCAAGTTAAGAGGCCCCTATCGCGGGTACTAACCACCTGTCGGAGATACCAACCCCCTGTCGGGGAAGATCTGGCGCTACCACCGCAACCCATACGATCGCGATAGTATACATCACCTCGCACATACGGTAGCAGTTTTTTAACCCTAAAATTTGACAACTTAGTAAGGCATACCTAAATTGTATTTTGGTAAGCCGAGATTTCCCGACAAACTTGCTGGAAATTCCCCGACAGGGAGGTCCAAGGGGGTCCAGAGGTCCCCGACCGGGGGGGGGGCCCCTTTGCCCTCCTGGACGGTCCTCGTCGCCTGGCACGCATAGGAGAACCCGTTCTAGGGTCGCGTCGTTACGCAAATCGTAAGCTCCATATTGCCTTTGGGCAATTTTTTTATGCATGGATTTAATTCTACGCACAGAGCAATTGCCATCTAGTAGGCCTACGTCTATTTATTGCTATAGTATTGTCAAAATAACGAACCGCTAAACTTCTGGTTAACCCAATGACACCATGTTTCGTGGCAGAATACACAGGACAGAACTGTACACCTCGAAGTCCTAAAAGAAAACAATAAAAATTAGGCCTATTTGAATAATTATTATTTTCTAACAAAATGATCGATATATGTATATATTTTTAGGCCACTCACCAGCCATTGATGCCATATTTACAATAACACCACCTGTGCCGCCATTTGCTTTACTCATATATTTGATCGCCAAGTGAGTCCCCCGAATAACTGCGATCTGAAAGTATATGAAATAAATTACACAAGAAATAAATATGGTTATTTATATACGTACACAAATCACACATTTAATTGCTATAATCAGTGGCGTATCTAGGAGTCTTGAAATGGGGGCGCTGATGAAGGGGGCGAAAATTAATTGGGGGCTCGATTATTAGG